TAGTAAAATTTCTGGCAAGGAGTGAGTCACCGAAACACTTCCTCTCCATTAACAGAGGTGTTACTGTGGAGTGTACTAATTACAACAGAGCACTCTTTGTTGCAGTTTAGGGCTGTTCCCTCCGCAAGTATAATGAATTAGCGCCTTCTAAATCTATCCATTGAGCTAAACTATAGCTCTGAAGTGAATTATTGGCTTCAAAGTAACTGTCTCCAATATTGTCTTCTGTTAGAAGATGTATGTTTAACATCCAAAATAGGAAAGGCCATTTAACTCCTGCTACTTTAACAGACACTCCTGCAAGAGGCTTTAAATGGGCCACTCCGTGTCATCTAAAAGGAGTGCATTTTCTTCGACAGTGCTGCAGTCCCCAAGTGTACGTGACCCCAGATCTCCAGAGACACAGGGGAGATTTGCGGTTCCTCAGGCGAACGAATGCAGCCTCCCTGGCGCCAGGCCAGCGTGCCGCCAACTCCCTAGGACAGTTATTTGCGGTCTTGGCTCTGTTAACGGTAATCACAATTTCTCGCAAGTAATTAATGTGGAAAGCTTTCTCTCTTCCTAGGCAAGTGCAGTGCTCACACATGCATGCACATGCTTTCTAATAGCTAATTCCTAATCCCACCTGTTTACACCTTGTCTGGTATAACCCAGAGTGTTTGCCCATCTGAGCTACATATATGAGCTCAACCACATCCTGAATTAGCACATAAACACTTTCTACATAACGTGTCTTCATGTGAAGCTTCCTTTATTTCTTACGCCCGGTGCTCAAATTTTTGACAGATGGGTAATTTTGGTTCTGTAGTTTTATTGTACTAAATAAAACACTACATCTTACATTATACAACATCTAACAAGAGATTTAATATATTGTCAACCATTAGCAATTTATATTCAAAGTCCTCCCAATAGGTGACATTAAAAATGTATATACCAAGCCTGATATGTAGAGTCTGGTATGTAAAATAATTTTTTAAAGATTAGTTTTATAATTTTGTGTTTTGAAAATTTTGTTTGGGATTTTGATTTGATAGGATTGAGGTATATACCTTGTAGAGAACAACCCCAAATCAGAACCTTTTCAGGGATGCCCCAAATTTGGTTCTGACTTGGTTTCAAAAATGAAAACACCAGGCACAGGCATCAAAGCCCAATTTCTTTTTTTGATTCTTTAATATGTGGAACTTGGGCCAAGCCAGCTAAAGGACCTCTTCTCTAAAGTACTTAATAAAGGAGACATGTGAAGGAGATACATAGATAGATACGTGATTTTATACATACACACACATATATAGAGAAAGAACGAGAGAATGAGAGAGAAAGGAGAGTACATATCTATTTAAGTACCTTAGGGAAAGGGAAGATACGCAATACCTTATAGACATATGTATAAGTGTATATGTGTATACATTCAGTCACACATAAAGTGACTTAGACAAGTCTAACACACTGTCAACTCCCAAATTTCTAGAAAATACCATGGAAACCAATTAATACTGATTATTATTTTGTTAATCATCTTGTGTCTGTGGCATGCTATGGAAATACAAATAATTATATATATAAAATATATATGACTAGGCTGGTTGCAGAGGCTCACGCCTGTAATCCTAGCACTCTGGGAGGCTGAGGCGGGTGGATTGCCCAAGGTCAGGAGTTCGAAACCAGCCTGAGCAAGAGTGAGACCCTGGCTCTACTGTAAATAGAAAGAAATTAATTGGCCAACTAATATATATAGAAAAAATTAGCTGGGCATGGTGGCGCATGCCTGTAGTCCCAGCTACTCGGGAGGCTGAGGCAGCAGGAACGCTTAAGCCCAGGAGTTTGAGGTTGCTGTGAGCTAGGCTGACACCACGGCACTCACTCTAGCCTGGGCAACAAAGTGAGACTCTGTCTCAAAAAATATATATATATATATGACTAAACCAGCAACCTTATCTGTTTTCAGAAATATATAGACATAAAGCTATATTCTTCATTAAAAGCAATAGTTTCCACTACAGACAGACAAGTACACCATTTTTGTTTTCCCTATGTCAAACTGATTAATAATTGTACGCTGTGGAAATGATTGATTTTGAAGATATAGGAACTAGACTATTTCTATCATTTTAAAGAAAAATTTTTAAGGAAACCATTATTTTATTTTGTGATTTTGGAATATTCTGTGCTTTAAAAGTATTTTAACTTAGAGACATATACAGTCCCAAAACATACATTTATTAGACTTTCTATTATTGCTATTGTAAAGAACAATGTAATCCTGGCATAGAACATTACTCTTGTAATTGCTCCACATACAATTTACATTATCACCCCCAAGTCACTGATTGGCAGCTCATACGTAACAGTTGACTCAACATCAACGTCATTTCATCTTCATGTAATGTCCTTAAACCCTTCCTTAGCTCACCACAGAAGAGTTCCTCTGGCTCCTGGCAATGAACTGAGGAATGACTATACAGTCATAGAGCTAAAGGTTCTTAAAACTACAAGAAACCTCAGAGATTTTCTAACCCAGGGTCAACCTCTATGCAGCACACATACCACTACATCCTGACCTTGGCAGACGGCAGTAATCCATTTCAGAACTTTTGTTTCCAACTTTCCTAACAGACATCATACCAGACAGCCCAGCTACCTATAAATGAGAATTGGCGCACGAATGGAATCCTGATCTGAATCCCTTTCTTTCTGATGAGAAACAAAGGCTCGGAGAGTACAAGTATCAGATACACTGTTTTTTAAACATAGCTTTTAAGAGTCAGTCTCATTACTTGGTCTCATTTCATTTTCCAGTGCCTACTAAATATGATAGGAGGGCCCTCAAGGAATCTATAATCTAGTTTTGAGGAAGAAAAGATGCTTGAGAGATATATATGTAGACAAATTAAATGTTAATCTGGGTTGCTGACATGATTACAGGGGGCTGAAGTAGGCAGAGAAGAATTTAAGGAGGAAATGGAATTTCATCTAAGCTTTGGGCTCATTGATTCCCTCAACAAACAAGATAATGTCTTACTAACTGTCGGGGTCACAAATGGCTCAACAACTCAACAAATGTATGGTGGGTGCTGTGGGCACAGAGAGTAGCAACGCAAAATTCCTTCCCTCGTGGGTTGGTGAGGGAGGCAGAAAAATCAGAATATAGGGTAATAAATACCAAGAAGATACCAGTTCTGCACAGCAGCGGAGGAGCATAATGGTTAAGTGCAGAGCGTCTGGAGCCAGACTGCCAGGGTTCGAATCCCAGCCCTGTCCTTGACCAGTGACCTTGGGCAAGTTTCCTAATGCTCCGTGCCTCAGTTTCCTGAAAATATGCTTGATGGCAAGGTCAAATGAGTTACCATACTACTATATATAGCACTTGGAACAGTATTTGGCACATAGTTGGTGATACATGAGTCTTAGATCTTATTATATGTGAAACAGGACGGGAGGGCGTTTGGTACCACCTGGGAGAAGCGGGGAGGAGGAGAATTACCCAGAAGAAGGGGTGTTTGAGCCGAGTCTTGAAGGATGAGTCAGGCAGGCTGGGTGCAGGGGGTGAAGGGTTTTGGTTGCCATGCTAAAGAGATGACCTCCCCTCACCTAAGGGCAGTGGGCAGCCATGAACTGTTTTCAGCACCAGAGTGATGTGATCCAATCCGCATCTTAGAAAGGTCACTTTGATAGAAATCTGAACCCTTAACTGTTACCCCTTGCAGTGGTTTGAGTGCTGGCCCCCAAATGAATGAATATTACCTTCTATGGCAAAATGTGATTTAGTCAAGATCTTGACAGGAGGGTTATCTGGGCAGGCTCTAAATGCCGTCACAAAAAGACAGAGCTAGAGGGAGACCACAAACATAGGAGAAAGGGACTTGGAGACAGAGGCAGGGGTTAGAGGAGTGATGTTGCCACAAGCCCAGGAATGCTGGGACAGCTGCCAGAGGCCAGAAAGAGTCCAGGGACAGATCCCCCCCCCCCCAGAGCTCCCAGAGGAGTGTGGCCCTGCTGGAGTTTGGACTCCAGGCCTCCAGAATTGGTGAGAATACATTTCTGTTGTGGGGCAGCAGCCACGGGAAATGAATACAACCACTGACCCTTAACGCCTCCCCTTCCACCTCAGGGCCATGAAGTCCTGTCGCCTGTTCAGGGTAAAGCCCTGACCAGGCCCCTCGCCCCGACACCTCCCCTGGCCTCCCTCCAGCATGTCATTCACGGTTCTCTCTCTTCGGCCTTTTTACTCTCAGTGATTGCTCCTCTTCAGGTTCAATCAGACTCAAGTCTCCTTAAAAGCAAAACAAACCAAAATAGAAAACCCTTCTCTAGACCTCACACATAACCACCACTTCCTCCCGATTCCTTCACACCTATGCGCCTCCAAAGAAAGGCCCAGAGGGTCAGTCTGTCCTCCCGCACCAATGCTGTTGAACACCCTCCCCCACTGAGTGTCACCCGCCCTCCAGTTCTTATCACTCTACCTGATTCTCCTCTATGTGCCTCCTCTACCCCGACCTCCAAGGTTGGGGTTCTCCAGGGCTCTGTCTTTGTTCTTCTCTTCTCCCAAAACAGGTTCATTCTTTTTTTTTTTTTTTTTTTTGAGACAGAGTCTCGCTTTGTTGCCCAGGCTAGAGTGAGTGCCGTGGCGTCAGCCTAGCTCACAGCAACCTCAAACTCCTGGGCTCAAGCCTCCTGCTGCCTCAGCCTCCCGAGTAGCTGGGACTACAGGCATGCGCCACCATGCCCGGCTAAGTTTTTCTATATATATATATTAGTTGGCCAATTAATTTCTTTCTATTTATGGTAGAGACGGGTCTTGCTCTTGCTCAGGCTGTTTCGAACTCCTGACCTTGAGCAATCCGCCCGTCTCGGCCTCCCAGAGTGCTAGGATTACAGGCGTGAGCCACCGCGCCCGGCCAAACAGGTTCATTCTTTCCCAAAGCTTTAAACACATGCCCAACACGCTCAGTACTCCATTCCACATCTGTCTGCTGAGCGCCAGACCCACTCACCCAGCTGCCTGCTGCCCACCTCTGCCCAAGTCCCCTCAGGCTCCTCAGCCCCACGTGTGCACACTGGAACAGGCCACGTTCTTTTCCAAGCTGGTGTCCCTTCCAGGACTCCGTATCCTGCTAGAGATGGCCACCACCTTCTTCATCAGACCAAATCCAGTTCAGCCCTGCCAGGTTAACCTTTTTCCCTTCTGTTCCACTGCTGGCTGCTCAGTCGAGGTGCCCGTCTCCCCTCGCCTGGACCTTGGACCTGAACCACCCCATTGCTCTGACTCCCTCCTAACCCACCCCAGCTCCTCTACTCTCTCCCTCCCTCACGCCACTCCTTGATGTTTCTCAAATGAGGCAAGATGCTCCCCTGCGGGACTTGTTCCTCCCCTTCTTTGCAGTCTTGATGCAACTGTCACCTTCTCGGTATGGCCTTCCCTGTCACTCTATTTAAAGCTGCAAAGCCTCACCTTCCCAGCCCCTTCCCCGGCTCTATGTTAGTGCACGGCACTATTGCCCTCGTGCATACTACACTGTACTTTACCTATTTATTCTATTCACTGCCTACCTCTCTCCACTTGAACAGAAGTCCCATGAGGGCAGGGAGTTTTGTTCACTGCTGTGTGACCTGGCCCTAGAATAGTCCTCGGTTCTGCAGGGATATTCCTAAACACCACTGAGCCAAGGCTCTGTGCAGGGGAGGGGCTGGGCCCAGACCAGTCTGAGCCTCCAGCCACCCTGTCCTTAGGGGTTTCACAGACAGAACAGGGAAGTATATACCACATCACAAATTAGCACTGCCAGATATAGGCTGCAAGGGCTCCAGGGCAGGAGCCATGAGGCAAGGCAACGGCATTACTGAGAATGTGAAAGAATCTTTTCAGATTTTGAAGACAATGGGATCAGAATCTATAAATGATTGCTTCCTTAGCACTCCAAAGAAAATGATTTAGAATGTATAAGCTTGTCAGTTCCGTGTAAATACTGACACCTATTACCCTTTCTGAGAATCCCTAAGCTTGAAATCACATTTTCAAATGACTGAAATAACACATAACCCATCTGGAGAAAAAGATGAGGGTTTATGCTGTGAATATAGGGTGAGGATGTCACAAGTGCCTTAACAACATTATCGTCACATGATCAGCACCGGGTGACTGGAATCAGAATGCCGGCAGAATTCTCACACTCAGTAATTCTGCCTGGACGGAACTCCCACTTAGAGCACAAAAATCCTTCCTTACATAAAATTATATATTTAAACATTATATTTAAATGACTTGAGGATTAGACTGTGGGGTACAAAACAAAATGATTAATGCCTTCCATTTCCCTTTTAAAAACAATAACTACTACTACAAAGGCCGGGATTGGTTTAGACAGCGCATGTCATCAAAACACTTGAATCTCCCTGGACTCGAAATTATAGGCTGGACATCAAGCAGAACGGTGAAAGAAACACAGCATGAGAGCCTTTATTTTATAAGAAAAAACTAATTTTCGAATAATAAAGTTAACCAGATTTATCTTAAAATAACACCTATTGAGTACTTATCATATGCCAGGCACAGAAACTGGGTATTTTCACATTATCTTAATCTATTCTAACAAAAAATGAGGTAATGACGAATAGTCCCATTTTCCAGATGAAGAAACTGAGGATAGCAGAGAATAAGCAATTTGTCTAAACAGTAGGGCCTGATAGTGCTAGAATTCAAATCCAGGACTCTTGACTCCAGGCTCTGTGCTTTCTACCACACTACAGAAGCAGGGAAAAAGCTTGTAAGAAAAGTAATGAAAGCAACGAAAGTGTTCCTAATGGTATTGTATCAAAGGCCTCTCCTGTGAAAATCCAAGATATTATTTTCAGGATCTTATAGGGTTTCACAGAAATTAACAATGATCACCTAGCTATTCAATCCCTTTATCATGTGAATAAGAATTTGAGAAAGGTTTACTTCTCAGCATTTCCTTGTCCATGAGAAGAATTAACTCAACTCCTAATTAATAAAGATAATCTTTAACTGCATTTCTCCTAGAATGTTGTATCTTGAAAAATCAGAGGTTTTAAGCTGGCTCATAAAAATCTTTGCCCCTCATTTCAATAACCAAAATATTTTAAAATGTCAGGGCTGCTGCGTTATAGCAGGGACCAAATATTTCAATGGCTGTAATTAGAAGATGATGTTTCTTCAGGGTAGTTAATAAACTTAACAGTTTTTTATTCTTTATAGGCCACATGGAGAAAACTCCAGAAGGGAGGCTGTGTGAGAGATCTTGTGATTTTTCTGGATCAATTAAGACAATTATAAAATCAACTCTTCGTATTATGCAGGGGCTTATGGAGAGACTCAGTGCCACCGTTATTGTAAGTCGCTGGAATTTCATTGCTGGTTAAACAAATGAGCCCTTGCAGACTACGCAGAGGTCTGACTTTCCACCCAGGCCCAGTACACTCTGGAGAAAGAGGAAAAGAGAAGGACCCCAGGAAGTGGCTGTTGATGGGCACAACAGAGTGGCCTACACTTGAGACTTCTCCAAGGAGAAGTGAGAATCAGGACTGCCTTGTGTTGGGACTGCCCTGAGTCGGGACTACCCTATGTTGCCATCTGGAAGAGGAAATGTCCAGGAAGACTTCAGCTGTACACTTAAAAATGTTTCTTTTGGTATTTTATTTTTATTTTATTTTATTTATTTAGAGACAGTCTAGCTCTCTCAACCAGGCTAGAGTGCAGTGGCATCATCATAGCTCACCGCAAACTCAAACTCCTGGGCTCAAGGGATCCTCCTGCCTCAGCCTCCCAGAGTGCTAGGATTACAGGTGTGAGCCCAGCCTTACAGTTTTTAAGTGGTGGTTTTCGTTTCTGGAGAAAAGTACCCGAATCAAGCTCCTGGGGCTCGCCCCCATTAAAACTGGAGGAAAGTGCCCATCTGAGACCAAAGGTGATAGCTAGCAAAACAGGCATGTAATGCTTCTTCACCAGGAAGGATTATGCAGCTGGTTCCAAAGGCCAGGAACAACTGCTCAGAGTCTTTCCCAAACCAGCCTCCAGTGAATCGGTGCACTGAGCGGTAGTGTGCAACACTTGGTTAATAAGTGAGTCTCTCTGGAGAGCCCAAGGGGCAAAACGGCAGGATTATGGCATTTCCATGGGGAATTGGGAGGGAGACACAAGCTAACATGCACCCCCAAAGTCTTTAAAAAAAGAGATTCAGCAATTAATTCTGGATACCTATCACTAGGAAAACAAATAAGGGCATCTCTTCTATTTGGCTAAAAAGAAATCAAATAGCTCTTTGTAGAGTCTGCTATTTAAATGTGGTGGGGCAGGATGAACCTTCCCTATAAATTCCCAAAGCCACTTGGCACTTCTTGGGAGTAACAGTCAACACTTGCTTCTCTACTCTCTTTTTCCTCCCACAAATGGCCTCTGCCAAGGCAATCCCGGATGTTATTTATTTACTAGAAACCTGACTTTTCTTTGCACAAGGTTCTGGACAATCTGACCCCAAGGATCCCATTTACTTTCAATGGTGGTTTTTCCAGGGGGTGGGGAGTAATCCGAGGGGGAGAAGACAACACCAAATATTCTGAGATTCAGAAGAGGCAGCTGGAGAGAAAGGTGCAAGAGGCTGCTCCCACCTGCTTTTCCAGCAAACCTAGGGGCGGTTTCCAAAGGGAAAGTGGAGCCTGCCTAGGAATCCACATTCCCCAGAGAGTGCATCAGCCCTCACCTGCTGGGAGTCCCCACCTGTATGAGCTCACATGGAAAGAGACAGACATGGCCCCAACGGCAAAGAAGTGCATCCCAGGGCCCAATTTGGAAAACAGACAACCTTGGCAGAAATTCAGAATCCAAATAGGAATAACTCATACCTCTGAGCAATGAATGGCTGAGACATCCACCTAGTGCAGTGATCTGCCAGAGGTGAATCACTTAAATACACCCTCGTTTAAAAACAGGCTAGGATGTGCGTTAAAATGATTTTTAATAGAAAAACAACGTGGAGAGCAAGGATGCTAAGGAGGAGGAGGGCCCTCTGAGTTCCCTTAGTTCTCTTCCCCTGTGACCTCCTGCTGGCCATAATGGCACGCCCCTGAATTCAGGCATGAATTTGTCAGCTTTTCAGAACCCGGGTGCAGGCAGTTGGCGCTCGCCGCGTGGGAAGACACCTTCCCAGGCACTGCCCGGGGCGGGGCGAGCGGTGGCGGCAACGTCCCTAGCCTGTCTACCCGGGGCATGGTCATCCCGGAGGCCGAGGCGCCTCTTTCGGTGTCTGATTGAGAACTGAAATCTACATACAGTCTGCTGGGGCAGCGCGGTCGTTCAAGAAAAAAAAAAAAAAAGGAAGTGGAGGGGGAGGAGATAGGATTAAAAACAAGATTAAACCCCATTTGTTTCCAAATGGGCAGAGCCTAGAGCTACTTGCTTCCCTTTCCACCTTCAAGCCCATTTCCACCTTCCAAGATCATTTTGTGCAAAGCAGGAACCAGCGGCTCGTGGAGCACCCGAATGGGAGTCCCGGAGGAGCTTTGTTCTTCGTACACGCAGTAATTTGCGTGCTTGGGGGGAACCCCCCGCGCGGGGTCCGAGGCCGAGGCCGAGGGGGGCGCCGAGGGATCGCGTGCGCCAGCGCCAAGCCCACCCTCGCACCCGCGCGCCCCGCACGCGGCCTGGGCGCCGGGCGCGCGTGAGGGTGCGCGCGTCGCCCACCCGCGGCGCGGCTCACCTAGCACCACCGCGGCCACGGTGGAGAGCAGCAGCCAGTTATTCTTCACGAAGCGCTTGCAGTCGCGTCCCTTCCTCGCCGGCTTCCCCATGGCAGGCGCCCGTGCTCGGAGCCGCCGCCGCGGTCGCCGCTATTGTGCGCGGGGCTCGGGGGTGCGCTCGTGGGCGGGGGACACGGGGACCGCAGGCTGCTCCGCGGCGCAGTGGAGCCGGGATGCGGGAGCACAGGGAGAGGGTGAGCGTTGGCTGCCGCTGTTGCCGCCGCTGCAGCTGTCACCCCGCCGCCGCCGCCACCTGGGGCCGCGCACCGCTCCTGCCGCCCTGCTAGCCGGGTGGCTTTGCGTGGCGGGCGCGCCCGGCTCCTCCTGCCGCCGCCGCGCTCTGCGGCGCCCGGGCCAACCAGCGAGGAAGGAGGGAGGAGCGGCGGGCCCGGGGAGGCGGGTGGGTGCGTGCGTGGGGCGCCCGGGGTCCCGGTGGAGCGGGCGTGGGAGGGCGCCGGGCGCTGGGCTGGAGCTGCGGTGTCCTCTCCGGGAACCCTGCGCCCCGCTCCACTGCCCTCAGCTGGAGTCGGTGTCGCTTGTCCCCGCACGCCCCTACCGCGGGAGAGGTCTTCGGATTTCAGGTTTTCTTCTGCACCTAATCCAGAGGGGCGGAGCCACTGCCCGGGTTGGCGTGGACTTCATCCTGCAGCCTCCCTCTCCTTTTCCACACCAGCCACTCCCGGTGCCAGCGCCAGGAGAACGCAGTGTCCTTTCGAGTTGGGGGAAACTGGGGCTACCTTGGGTCCCTCTTGCTCTCCTGCGCAGGCTGGGACCTGCCAGCAGCCGCGAAAGCCTGAAGCCTCAGGGAGGAGGGAAGGAAAGAGTGCCGGGGCAGGACAGGACTCTGGGGAGTTTCGCACAGGTCCTCTCATCCCACGGGGTTATTAACTCTTCTCTCCGAGTCCCGGGAGGTGATTTGTCTGTGGACACTGGGCTCGGAATGCTCCCTGACTATGGAGGTGATGATCCTTCTTACACCTTCACTACTGCTCCTCGTGACTAACTCTGTGGCCGCCACAGGCCCCAAAGTGTTGAGACTATGCAGAGTAATTAGGACTGGGGACCGGGCTGGTCTGGGGAGACGGTGGACGGGCCCATCCCTAAAGCCAAAGGCAAACCCAGGAGAGTGGGAGAAGCTAGGTTAATGATGCCGAATAGATTCTGCGCTGCTAAGTGAATTTTCTCTCTTCCATTCTTCTACCCAATTTTTTCCACCCTTCCTTATACAAACGCTTTCCCTCTTCCCTTTATCACATTGGCACCTCGGCAGCTCTAAGCTAGCTGCTCATCCGCTTTCCTAAAATTAAGTGAGCCCTGCACATTTTTTGCTATGGTGGAGTCTACTTTCTGATTTGGGGGTAGGGAGAATTTCCTCGACTAGATTTTCTGATAAATAAAACCCTGTAAATAGAGCTGTGTTCCTTTGGTTTAAATTGATACAAGTATCCTTGAAGAGATAACAAAATTAAGCTTTATCAGCCACGTACACTTTAGTATGAATGAGTTTAGCAGATCCTTTCCAGAAAGCAAACTTTGAGAGACAAGGGTAGAAGGATATCAAGGTCATTGGGTGTCTGAGGAAGATTTGAAGAAACGTCAGAAGAGGGGAAACTATCAAGGAAGAAAAGACAGATTCATCCCACAGTAAAAAAGTTGGAAAATCTCAAATGTCCAACATGAGAAGAATGGTAAATATATTATGGAACTGCCATGTAACAATACATTATGCAGCCTATATAAAGGAAGTTTATGAAGTTTTTAATAGCATGGGATAGCACATGTTATAATATTATAAAAGGAAAAAAGAAGCATTAAAATTATGTATACAATATAATCGCATATATAAAATAAACATATACAACAAAACCATGTGCTTAGAAAAAAGACTAGAAGAAAATATGCCAACATTTTAGCAATGATCATCTTTGGATGATAATACTTTGTTTGAATCTTTTTGCTTTCTATCTTTCTGTATTTCCATAGTGTATGCCATAAACACACCCATGCTCATTCAGTTGTAGATAGGGCTGTATTTACAAAATAAACAGGCCCTGAAGGGAAAAAAGTAGATGAACCTAAGAAGAACTTTGTGTAGAGCACAACTTTTGGGGTTGTAATAAGGCAATTACATCTGGGTTCCGGGAGTAAGATATTTAGGTTTAATTCCCAGCACCACTACCTAGTTGGGTGACCTTGGGCAACTTGCTTAAATTTATTGTGTATCAATTTCTTCATCTGTAATATTGGGACATTAATAATCTTTACCTCAAGGTGGTATTGTAAGAATTGAATATAATAACATGCTTGAAAGGCTTAGAACAGTGTTGGCATATGACAAATGTTATTGCTACTTGGAGTTTACCTGGACGGGCTTCTTCTATCTCCCTCTCTCTCGAGGCTGCCTGTCGTGAACTCATCCTGAACCACTTCAGACCCGTGAGAATCCTTGCATTTTGGTCAACGGCAATTGCCCTTTAGAAATACAAGAGCCCTTATATCATCCATTGCACTTTCACACCTAAAGCTTATGTAATGCACACTCATTTTATGCTCATTGAAATTATGCAAGTTTAAAATAATGCAGTATAAAAGACTGGTGATGTCTCAATATATACACACATTTTGAAATAATAAAAACCTTCCAGACTAAAGAAAAAGTCAAGAATCTTTAAAGTTCAAAGCTGGTGGGCCAAGTAAATTGTAAACTGTTTATGCTACTGCTACGTGCCAGTTCCATTTTGGTTGGTAATCAAAAAAGAATCAATGAGCAAACACCTACAAAGCCCTTATGTACCAGGCACTGTGTTAAGCACTTCATACATATAAGTTTATTTGGTCCTTTCAACAACTCAGTGAGGTAGGGATTATTGTTACCTCACAGGGCTGTTGGAAGAATCAAATGA